CTCTGAGTCACAGCCCTGGTAACAGCTGAGAACCTTCATCTGACCTCTATTTGATGCTCTTCTTAAACTACGGTAAGAAATAAAACTGTCGCAAAGATCCATGGGTCGGCTTAAGTCAAATGATTCAACTCTGAGTCACAGCCCTGGTAACAGCTGAGAACCTTCATCTGACCTCTTCGCACCTTTGTGCACTTTAAAGACACACACTAACACGCCCAAAATTTTGTGTTTCGGCACCATAGACTTTGTCAATGTCAACTTATTGTTTATAGGCCTCCGTGATTAATGTCAAACACAAACACATCAATAGCAAGACACTGGAATAAACCTATCACTTGCGTTTAACCACAAATTAAATGATACAGTAATAGAAATGCAATTTGATGACAATAGAACATGCGAATACAGCTGGGGCACAGCAGGAACATGGCACGGACACAGCAGGAACATAGCAAGGACACAGCAGGAACATAGCAGGAACATAGCAGGAACACAGCAGGATGTCGGTAGCTCAAAATTATTTAGAAAATGTAAATCAGCAGTTAAAATGTGACCGTGTGATGACGTCAACAAGGGTGGTCTGGCGAAATTTGTGGGCGTTTCTGGAAATTGATCTCTTAATGCCATATCAAGTGAGTAACTTTTTGTTTGAATAAAAATAAATCAGCAGTTAAAATGTGACCGTGTGATGACGTCAACAAGGGTGGTCTGGCGAAATTTGTGGGCGTTTCTGGAAATTGATCTCTTAATGCCATATCAAGTGAGTAACTTTTTGTTTGAATAAAATGTGTGTTGAGCATATATGGTAAGTGACGAAATAAAGTCTTTTGTTGCACATTTTTCCAATAAACATTTCGATTCATTGTCGTGGGGGTCGGACCCTTGGGCAAGCTCCCCATTCGCCTTTAGGAAAATCCGGCACTATGACGATATGATATTTTGTTATGTTGAACTCACTCACCGATTCATTCTCTCAAGCACGTTTCCCACTTCCTAGCATCTCGTGCTGGGGTGGCCGAGACTGAGTCAATCCCAATTAACTTGGATGGCAACTCATCGAAGAGAAGGCAAACTCTGAAATCAAAACTGTAGGCGGTATGGTAATTACTAAAACAAAGTAAGGTTTAAACCTGGAAAAAGGAACGCAACAAAACGACGAACGTGTCGACAGGAAGCCTTCGTCAGCGAACAAACAGAAAAAAAAAACAGAATAAAATAATAAAAAATAATTTAAAAAGCACTTAACTGAGACGTAGTATCCGAGAGGGCTGCAAATGAAATGAACCCAATTCAATTAATAGATGCCACTAATTGTAAGCGGAAAAAGCACAAGTTACTATTCTTTTTAAAACTGTTTAAAAATGAAAATTTATTCATTTTAAATGTTCAAAATGTATAATCGTTTTACCCATTTAGCTACGGGGGGGGGGGGGGGGTTTGGTTTTTTTTTTAAAAGGGGGGGGGGGCCCCCCCCCCCCCCCCCCACCCCCGGAGAGATACCTGAAAGAAACCCTGAACTCAAGTGGCAGCCTGCCCTGTCTCTTGACACCCTGTTCTCATGGCAACCTGCCGTGGTTCCACCCTGGTCTGGTTATAATTTGCTCTACATTGAGACACCCTTCTGTGGTGCTAACCTGATCTTGAACATAGTTTGTCTTTGAAACATACTTGGGCGAGCACTGTGAAATTTGCGCAATTTTTCCATTTAGTCATCAGGTGCGGTCCACACCCCCATTGAAGAAACTGATTAAAATATCTTGTGACCGTTTGAATTTTGTATCAGTGCTAGTTAGGATAGTCTTTAATGAAAATTTAAGTTTGATGTCTAAAGCCGTTCATATTTACAGATGCATTTCTTGTCATAATCAGGCAGTGTAGAAAGTGGTTGATAAGAACTGTCTTGGGCTTGAAAAGTAAGATAATCCATGTGTCTGAAAGTGTTGATTTTAAGAGTGTCACGTTAGTTCAGAGGCTTAGCGAGGGTTTTGGCGCCCGGGGACAAGATTCGCGCCCGGGGACAAGATCCATATAAAAGCGCCCCCTTTTCTTTTTCTTTTTCAACTCTAAAACCCAATATTTTCATCAATAAAATAATATCAAAGCACATTTTGGCGCCCCTAACTAGCTAGCGCCCGGGGACATCTGTCCCCCTGCCCCCCACCCCCTCGCAACGCCTCTGCGTTAGTTACCGTAAACCAGACATTGAAGGAACGGCACCACTTTACTAAGCCAATGCAAAGCCAGCAGTGTAAGCATTATTTGAAAATGTCGAAGTAAGTTGCAACATGTTTGAATAAATGTCTCACTTTTGTCTTGCTTTGACAAATGTCATAAAATCTTACACTTACATTGAACATTCATGCAGTGGCGTAGCTAGGGGAGGGGAGGGGATGCAAATTCGAAAGTCCCCCCGGGCCTCTACTTGAGGGGAGCCCTTAAAGGAGTGTCCGAAATTTTTTTTTTTTTACATTAAATAATGTCGAATGTCAAAATGCAGGGGCCCCTAATGAGGCCAAGCCCCCCGGGCCCCCAATCCCTAGCTACGCCACTGCATTCATGACCAACTTAGCCGCAAAATCATGATTTTTATTATTTGCATAGCTCGTATGAGGAAACTCACGAACGTGGAGTCACAGAATCAGGCTTATCCCATGGCCCAAAATGAGCTTCTTCCACCCTACACAATCTCAGGAAGAAATCTATCCAAAAAAAAAAAATTACAAAAAAACAACAGCAACAACAACAAAAAAACATTACACAAATTATTTCAAATTACCGACATCTCCCTACTTATGAAACACAGCATATAATTACTGCAATAATATCTACAGATATATGCACATAGATATATACAGATATGGGGGGTAATACAAGGTGGTGCTAGGTGTTTATCGTGCCAAGTGGATGACGGACGAAACAGTTTTAGAACCATTGGTGTATGTTAAGCTGGGGATGCAGGCTGAAAATTTGACAAAACATGCATACATGTAATGCACTTATATGAATCGCGATTAGCTGTTGAGACTGGGACAACAATGTTGACAGGAGAACTACATCCGGCTCAATCCGGAACCTGAACCCGGTAGCTGCCTAAGGGATCGGTAAGTTGGTTAAACAGCGTGAGAGTTGCTGTGTGTGGGTGTGTGAGTGAAGGGTTGCGTGAATGCATGTGTGTAAGAGAGTAACTGACAATGAAGAAGTTGGTCTTTAGTCCCTAGCCCTTAACTGATTAAAAAAAAAATAGATAGATGTAATGTTGTCGTAGTCTTATCTTAAGATTAGAGTAATTGATTGGTCTTAAAGGTGGTCGTGGCTTATCCTACTCTGACTGGTCGTGGCTTATCCTACTCTGACAAGTACCACGGCTTTTTACCCCTTATTTACACCCTTGGCTCTATGTAGTTTATTTAAACAACCCCACTCCCCCCACACACACTACCCACTTGTTTGACAGCAAGTTTCAGACTTATAAACTTTCAAGAGTTACATTAAAAAATAAAAATAAATCAGAAGCCAGACACACCACATTGATCAAAGGGTAACTACAGTTCTTTAAAAAAAAAATAATTGTGACGAGACATAACTTAAGAATCAGTGAAATAACCATGGACTCTCTTATCAATGAAAACGCATTATATATATATATATATATATATATATATATATATATATATATATATATATATATAAATGAAATATAAATATATATAAATATATATAAGAACTGACAAAAGAAAACAAACCAAGAAGACGAAAGGAGTTGAAAAAAAAAAAAAAAAGGGCCCCCAAGGACGGAGCCCCCCCCCCCCGCGCACAGCCCTTCCTACGCCACTGGTTGTACCGGGCAGTCAGTGACAACAATAAAAGCAGGATGAACCCGGCGGCCACCGACAAAGTGCCCTAATTATTATTTATAGACCTACACAAAAGCTGGAAAAATATTTACGCATATCCTGATGTTTGTACCGCGTTTGACTGTGACACTTAGAGACACAATGTTTCTACCGCACTGTGAGTTCATGATCTTTGTAAAGTGCCCCTTTCTGTGACCAGGCCCATCCCGAGGATAAGCAGCACCCAGAACGAAGCCTGTATACGACGCTCTCATTATATATGGAAAAAGTGCCGTCCCTGGACAAACCAGTAAGAATACGCCTTTGGCTTCCCTTGTCTTTGTGAAATACATGGAATTATAACATTTCACTCACTATTAAGGTCGTATCTAATAATGACTTTGGCGCCCCCTCCCCCTGAAGATGGCGCTTGGGGCCCGTTCCCCCCCCCCCCCACCGCCCCATTCACACGGCTCTGACTGGGACACTGAGAGTGAAAATATTAAAAGACAATGAAAGATGCATTATGAGTTTCATTTAACCTGCCGATATTTGAACACGAAATATAAAACACACTTTCCTACTCTCAAAATGCTCGGGAAAAAAAGTGCTGAAATAATAAAATATTTGACCAATGTCAGAACGGTGCTCTATTTGTTGAGTTGTTAGAGATTAATCATCAGAGACACGCCCCAGATGTTCAAATCTCAGCCTTGGGACAAACTTGAACTTCGCAACGTCATCGCTATGAGGATCTTCAAGTGCAAAAGCGGTGTGACCAATCAACGCACAGACCTGAGACACACCTTCTGGGTGACGATTTTGATTGGTTCACACTCACGGTACAGGGCCAAGCCTCCCGTCGCCACTTGGGAGGTTCTAAGTTTTAAATGGCTACAGGGAATACTAATTAACAATTGAGGTTTTTATTGATATAATCAACAGGTTTCGCATAGATAATGTTTGATGTAGTGTTATATTTATTTAACGATAAAGAAAGTTATTAAGCATCTATGAAAACCTCACATAGTATCATCCTAGTGATAATAGTGCAACATGCATAACCCTCAGTAACAAACTTTGAGAACCACTGTGTCACAGCAGCACTCCCCCCCCCCCCCCCCCCACAGTCTACATGCGTGTGTTACCTGAGAGAAAGGGAGCTCAGCCCAGAGGACATTCAGGCAAACACATTTGGGGGACATCGACGTAGCCAAACTGTTTCGTCGTGTGTCCGGCCACAGACCTTATGTTGGTAGTAGCAGGGTGTTCAAGAAATTCTTGTCTCGCGTGAGTAACGTCATCTACTAAGAAGTTTTATCCATCCATCTCTCTCTCTCTCTCTCTCTATAATTACTATTTATCTACTAAAATCTACCGGTATCAATATAATTTATAATTACTATTTCTGTCTCACTATATAGACCATTTATGTCGCTATAAATTATTATTTATCTACCACTGAGTATCACTGTCATTAATATTTCTTTCTCTCTATAATTAAAAACCGATTTAAAGACACATCTATTTCGCGAACACCTGCTGGGATGATGTCTACCATATTTTCCAGTGAATGGATATTGGCTGTGTTGCTTATGGGTGATGAACAGATTTTCCAGGGGGGGGGGGGCACTTCAAATTTTTCGGGTGTGGGGGGGGGAGTGCCGGCAGTTCCAGTTGATTTATCGTCGGACATATTTTTGCTCCGGGGGGGGGGNGCCCCCCCCCCCTCGGAGCTATAGCTGAAAGAAACCCTGCTTGGTATGCTTGCAAGTAGTGTTGCGTTTGTTTTAAATGTGGTAAATTATAGATTTTTTTTTTTTTTTACTTTGTTCCGCGCTTCGAGCCTTTGGTGATGAAGCGTGTTGTTCAAATAAACTTGATTATTATTATTTATTATTATAATTACTAATGATAATGTCTTTATATGTCTCTCTCTCATACCACTTTTGCTGATTGGTTGTAACCGTAGGTTGAGGTAGGTTAAGTCGTGAATTTGACGCACCGTAACGTCAATCATAGAATTAAGCTGAGCCCTCAGAGCCCCACACTTGAGGTCCTGACACCTTACAAATGGATAGCCCGATAGCGAAAACTGACTAGCTCAGATTTCTATTTTTTTAATAATAAATCTGCTATTGAGTTTTGATAGGTGTGCTGACAGCCACGAACCAACTAACTCAATCTCTGACGTAACAGATTCTCTAAAAATAACATAAGCAAACAAAATGTAAGAAAACATTGTCATGACTTATTTTTTGAGCTAAAACTACTAAGGATCTTGTTGAAAGTCGCTGGTAAATGACTGTGGGGGGAGGTAATCATTTTAACGTTATCTGGTAGTGAAGTTGCGTCCCCCGAATGGAAACAAAGGAATGTATTCACATTGTTTAACTTAACTTTTATTGACACTGTGTTGTGTCAGTGTTTAACTCACTATATTTACAGCTTATTGATGGTGTGTCGTGACAATGTTCCACTCACTTTATTGACCGTACGCTGGGACATTGTTTATATCAACTTCATTGACAGTGTGTTGTGGTCTACTTTCGACGATGGCTGTGTTTTGTGTCCGATGTTTAAAAAGACCCCCATCCTTTTAAACTGGGTTCAACTCTCTCAAGACCCCCATCCTTTTAAACTGGGTTCAACTCTTTCGTCGTAATTGTTCAAAAATGCATACGCCTCTAAGACTTCACAGTAACTAGACAGCTTCAGGGATGTAGAGCAGTGGCAACGGCTAAACACGTGACACGAAGGAAGCCGGTCCTGAGTCGGGCACCTGTCTTCAATGAGATACCGGATCCGGTGACTCTCTATAAGTTAGCATCTCCTATAAGCAGTTCTGCTGATACACCGTCCGGCATTTATATTAATCCAACTCAGACTGTCCCCAATGTCAATGTCCTCATACATGTATTCTTTTGTAAACCTGAATGCATGAGTTCTCCGTGAATTGAGGCTGCATCTGATATTTATATTCTTATCTAAGACGGGATTTCACGATCCTACAGAAAAATCGACCTGGAAAGTCAATGTAGAACTAAAGTTTAGCCTATACATTTAGAAAATAAAAACAAGATTAAACAGTCCAAGATTAAATTTAAGGAGCTTTTTCGTTTTAAGTGAATGTTTAACTGTACTCTTTAACTTCAGTAATGACAGTTCTTTTACTTCACAAACGCCCCATTCAGTTGACTATCACATTCCTTATCACTTTGTTTTGTAACACTACAGTGACCCTTGACATGATTTGAAACACTTTATGAATGATACGAAATTCCTCCAAATGTTCACCATTTTTGGACAGGGTCTTTGAAAGTCTTTGACAAAGGAAGTGGAAGAATCGTAATATCGGTATCATAAATTAAATATGATGTCTTGACGTCATACGTCCAATGGTGACATCAGATGGTGAAAATGTTTTCCCAGTTGAAATCTTTAACATTGTCATAATTGGACACACTTGCGTAGGGAGCTAGACCTGTGGCTGTGGTGGGGGGGGGGGAGCGGCCCCCCACCACGGGGAAGCACTTTGTCTATATATTGAGGGGCGACCTTTTCGGTCAATATCAGGGTTGTTGTTTTTTTTTCCATTTTATTTTTGTATAGAATAGAATAGGAAGTGAACTGCGCTGTCCACGTAGGAGAGTGACCTGCTTTAAATAATTTTAAAAAATACAAAATAAATATCAATATTTGTCTATTTTCAAGAAAACCCCAAAGTTTATCACCATTGCCTCAACTTAGTTCAACTGATGTCCTGACAAGACTTACATTCACGTTTAGAGAATGTGTCTATGTCTTGAATCAATTGAGTTGTCGCTCTTGGCATGAAGACGACACACGAAACTCGTTTAAATAGCTTGCGCTTGGGTAATAATGAACTGGTCGGCCTGGGAGAGGCAAGGCTGTCTTAATAGACAGTGAAGGGTTTGACCACAATGATAGCAACCACAATGGGTAACCCTAGAGACAGTGAACAGACCACCAGGGGTCCATCGACCCCAATCATCCTTTAAGGCGCTTAGGCTATGCTGTATAGACATCGGAATCCATTTGTTGTTGTTTTTTGTGTGTTTTTTTTGTCCCCTGGCCTCTGTATTCATCACCCTCCCCCCCACACACACACACCCGACACAACCACACACAACCACACACACACACACGACACAACCACACACACACTTCCTTTAACAACGAGGACACGTATGTTTGCGTATCAAGTGAGCAAATTAAATTTAAAAAATATGTCGCAGTCAGCGATGCATTTCTAAAACTTTGCCAAATTTTCTTCCGAATTTGTTATTTAAGATAACGACACTCAAAATATACATCGTTTATGTCTAGCCATTGGTCTACTTTATACTGAGGCCAAGGGTCCGACAATAACAGTGGGGCAGCCACGCCACGTGTGTGGGCCGAAGTGACGCACCTGGTCATACATTGATACATAATGCATTATGGGTTTCTATTGTCCGTTTGAACAAAAAAAATCTTCATGGTCAATATGGTATCTTCAACAGGTGCGGTACGTTGAAGGTCGGATTAACCAGGCTGGATAACCCAGGGATTGGCTCCTCATCGTTGACCAGCTGACCAGTCGGGCAGAGAGTAAGAGCCACTCGACCAACACTGTTGTATTGACGTGAGAAAATCCATTTTTATCGAGGATACGATGGCCACCAACGCTGTGCGCAGTTTTATAAGGACTTTTGGCTCCAGCGCCTCCATTCCACCAAGGATGCCAGCTCCACCCAGGGCGCTCAACCGATGGAGAAGAGTCACCGGGACGGTGTCGGCGAGAAGAGAGAGCCACAGCTACTACACCGATGTGGAGAGTCNGTGAGGGTGTGTGATTGGGTGGGGGTGTGGTGTGAGGGTGTGTGAATGGGTGGGGGTGTGGTGTGAGGGTGTGTGAGTGGGTGGGGTGTGGTGTGAGTGTGTGTGAATGGGTGGGGGTGTGGTGTGAGGGTGTGTGAAATGGTGGTGGTGTTGGCTTGAGGGTGTGTGAATTAGTGGTGGTAAGGTGTGGGGCTAGGTGTGAGGTTGTGTGAATGGGGTAATGGTGTGGAGCCAGGGTTTGTGTGTGGTCAAGGTGTTTTTTATAAGGTGTATGACTCCCAATAAGTGTAGGATTCATGATATGTCATGACGTCTGTTGAATCATGTTAATCAACAATGATTGACCTTGACCTTACATGTCTCCCATTTGCGTCACTCACAGGGTCACTGGGCCAGCTTGGACCAGGACTTGCTAAAATATTGAGGTAAGAGTGCCCAATGGTACACATGATGACCATCCATAGTAGTCAGAAACTTTCTAACTACACATTTCTGTCTACACATTTCTGTCTACACATTTCTGTCTACACATTTCTGTCTACACATTTATTTCTATCTACACATTTATATCTTTAAGTCATTTATTCAATCTCCGAGTTTAAAGAAAAATTCTAATATATTCACACGGGGGGGGGGGGTGTTGACTTAATCATTGTTTGCCATCGCCCATATTATATCTTTAAGTCATTTATTCAATCTCCGAGTTTAAAGAAAAATTCTAATATATTCACACGGGGGGGGGGTGTTGACTTAATCATTGTTTGCCATCGCACATATTATGAACGAAATAATGACGTCGAGCTTGTGTACACTACAATTGGGGTCTGATTTCTGTCTGCTCCCACTGAAGCTATAAAGATTTTGACTCTACTGTCCTCGATATTTGGACAACCTGACATTTGCTTGGGTCTGTTTTTTTTGCAATTGAGACGTTCATAGCCCCCATGTTCACTGGTCACATTTTTCAAACATTGGTTTAAGGTGGGTCTGTCAGTGGGCCACATTTGAATATAGGGATTCAATGACTTGACACAACTAACCAAAATGGGGGTGGCGGGGGGGGGGCGGCCGCATGATTTCATCAGCCCATGGCACATCATGGGTTAACGTCTCATGCCACAAATGAGCTATCTTCATAGTTTCAGGGCAAGCAGTCTTAACCGGTTAGGTGCAGTTTCATCAGCGTTTTCGAAAGATCAAATTCATTTGCCCGAAGCACTTTCTTGATGCACATCAGTGCATGTGACCTTCATTTGAACTACTGGACCATTCTCGAAAACAAGCGGCCCGCCAGCACCCACTTTGGGGCCCGTGAAGTAACGAAATATTCTTTTGTATTTATATTTTCTTAATAGCTCCCCCCACGCCCCGGGTCCTAATTTCTTTTGGCCCCTTCAAGTTTTTCATAAAGTATTACGACCCTCCTTACATTTTGAGTTGGGCAGGCCTGTGTTAGAGCGATGATTTGTAAAACATTGGTTTGTCTTGTCAGTTACAAGAAAGCTGGAAAGAATCTGTATTTGCTACAAGTATTACAAGAAATCAAAATTAGTAATAAAAACAAGTAAAGTACATTGAGCTTCGCTTAAATCTTATCTATAGACAAAAATCTTTCATTTTTGGAAAATTTGAGATAAGGGAAGTCAGCCGGTGACGTAACCTATTTTCAGATGTGTGACTCATATGGTCAACCCCTGGCTACAGCCATAATGGTGCAGGTCTACCTGGTTAGATCATTGGCTTACATGGTTAGGCCATAGGCCTACATGGTTAGAGCATTGTCCTACATGGTTAGATCATTGGCTTACATGGTTAGGCCATAGGCCTACATGGTTAGAGCATTGTCCTACATGGTTAGATCATTGTCTTACATGGCTGGGCCATATGCCTACATGGTTAGATCATAGGCCTACATGGTTAGATCATTGTGTTACATGGCTGTGCCGTATGCCTACATGGTTAGAGCATAGGCCCACATGGTTAGAGCATAGGCCCACATGGTTAGAGCATAGGCCCACATGGTTAGAGCATAGGCCCACATGGTTAGAGCATAGGCCCACATGGTTAGATCATTGTGTTACATGGCTGGGCCATATGCCTATAGGGTTAGATCGTAGGACTCGTATAGAGAGTTGCAGACAGAGCACAAAAGGTCCGACCCATATCAGTTTGAGAGCCTTGCCATCAAAGGACGCCCCACGGGCAACAGATCTAACGGACGATTAACGGGAGCTGGTTGGAGTTAAAAATGGCTTTATTTAAAAAGTAGGCGCAATGTAGGGACCACGTGACTTGAGTGGACGTCACGTTGACAGGTAAAGTCTATAATGAATGTTAGGCAAATAAAAAAAAAAGGTCATTACCCTAATGGCCTAGTATAAAAATAGATTTTGTGACCAGTGCAAAGGTCAGAGGTTGATGACAGGGTTAAACCATTGCATCATTGCGAAACGCTGTAGCTTCGTAGCCAGAAGCGTACTTGGTCCTATCGTACTTGGTCCTATCGTACTTGGTCCTATCGTACTTGGTCCTATTGCAGGGCTGCACTTTTTTAAAAACATATATTTCGGCCATCGGTGAATTTTTTTCTTTGGGGTGCCACTGCACAAAAAAAAAAAAAAATAAACAGAAAAAACCAAACCAACACATAATAAAAATCGTACTTGGTCCTATCGTACTTGGTCATATCGTACTTGGTCCTATTGCAGGGCTGCACTTTTTTAAAAACATATATTTCGGCCATCGGTGAATTTTTTTCTTTGGGGTGCCACTGCACAAAAAAAAAAAAAAAACAAACAGAAAAAACCAAACCAACACCTCTTAAAGTCACTGTAGGTCTACTTTACCTTAAAAAATACGTTACAATGTCTTAAGTAATAAAAAAAATACGTTCTATTACTATATTAATTAATAGAATAGATTTGTTCTTATAGCAATTGAATATATTTTTTTCTTGTAGCAATGCTGAGTATAGATGTGTTCTTATATCCCACAGAGAAAAGTTTGGCCGTGATCACGTGATCATGTCTGACATAAACAAAGCTCCAGAGTCTGTCTTGGAATCAGGTAATTGTAAGACAGGAACAGATGACTGTCAAACTCCCGTTTCTACTAGATTGGTTAAGTCATCAAGTTCTTTCACACGTTGTGATAAGTCGTACTAGCACTGAATCAACTCAAGCCCTTTATCGTAATAAGTACAACTTTAATATCTAATGTCAATTCACAGACTATTATTGTTAATTCCACATACACATGCATAGCGCAGATCGCTATCAGAGAGCAATAAATCACAACCTCCTTTCACAAAGTTCATTTCAAGACTGCCCCATGACTAAAACGTACGTCACACAACAGACTAGACAATACGTCATAAATGAGCATAAAAATACGTCACCAAGTCAAGCGCGGGAAGAGCGTTCACTAACTAATTAATCTCTCAAACACACACCACGCGTAATCAAACAAATATCCAGTTGCAACAATTATTAGTGAACTCCCCATACTCTACAATGACAGATGATACATTGATCAATTTAAAATCTGCCTTGGAATCAGGTTAATGTTAGGTAATGACTGATGACCTTTCCATTCAAGTTTATGAACAGTTGAGATAATTGGCGCTCTATGTTGACTCTGAACTAGTCTTAACCAGTAAAAGATGAATTCACTTGTTGTTGTTTGAGTTCTGTGTAATGGTGTAACTGTCATAGTGTAGTTGTTATGATGTAACTGTCATGATGTAACTGTCATGGTGTAGTTGTCATGATGTAACTGTCATGGTGTAACTGTCATGTTGTAACTGTCAAAATGTAACTGTCATGATGTAACTGTCATGATATAACTGTCATGGTGTAACTGTCATGATAGAACTGTCATGGTGTAACTGTCATGGTGCAACTGTCATGATGTAACTGTCATGGTGTAGTTGTCATGATGTAACTGTCATGGTTTAATTGTCATGATGTAACTGTCATGGTGTAACTGTCATGGTGCAACTGTCATGGTGTAACTGTCATGGTGTAACTGTCATGGTGTAACTGTCATGGTGTAACTGTCAGGGTGTAACTGTCATGGTGTAGTTGTCATGATGTAACTGTAATGGTGTAAATGAAATGATGCATTCATCAATCCCCATCTGCCAGCTTGCTTATATTACTGGATGCAATTGGCTTGTAATGTCCACTGCCTTGTAATGTCCACTGGCTTGTAATGTCCATTGGCTTGTAATGTCCACTGGCTTGTAATGTCCACTGGCTTGTAATGTCCACTGGCTTGTAATGTCCACTGGCTTGTAATGTCCACTGGCTTGTAATGTCCACTGGCTTGTAATGTCCGCTGGCTTGTAATGTCCACTGGCTTGTAATGTCCACTGGCTTGTAATGTCCACTGGCTTGTAATGTCCACTGGCTTGTAATGTCCACTGGCTTGTAATGTCCACTGGCTTGTAATGTCCACTGGCTTGTAATGTCCACTGGCTTGTAATGTCCACTGGCTTGTAATGTCCACTGGCTTGTAATGTCCACTGGCTTGTAATGTCCACTGGCTTGTAATGTCCACTGGCTTGTAATGTCCACTGGCTTGTAATGTCCACTGGCTTGTAATGTCCACTGGCTTGTAATGTCCACTGGCTTGTAATGTCCACTGGCTTGTAATGTCCACTGGCTTGTAATGTCCACTGGCTTGTAATGTCCACTGGCTTGTAATGTCCACTGGCTTGTAATGTCCACTGGCTTGTAATGTCCACTGGCTTGTAATGTCCACTGGCTTGTAATGTCCACTGGCTTGTAATGTCCACTGGCTTGTAATGTCCACTGGCTTGTAATGTCCACTGGCTTGTAATGTCCACTGGCTTGTAATGTCCACTGGCTTGTATGTAGATTTTGTCTTGTTGCGTTTTGTATTTTAATGTGGAAACATATAAATTGCCATATACGGTTGAATTGGTGGCGTGCTTCGAGCCTTAATTAGGGATGAAGCGTGTTGTTGACATTAACTTAATTTATTATTTATGCAAGAAATAACCATTAAAATCTTCCCTCTCTCCCCCCCCCCCCACACACACACAACAGGCCCATTCCTGTTTGCTGATGTTCTAGACATGCGGTCCCTTAGAGAGATCTGTGTCAATTATGAGATCGACTGGCTGATTCACTTCAGCGCCCTCCTCAGTGCCGTAGGTGAGGCTAATGTGCCCCTGGCCATGCAGGTCAACATTGAGGGACTTCATAATGTACTGGAGGTGTCCCGAATGTACAAGTTGAAACTCTTCATCCCCAGCACAATAGGTGGGTGACCTAATTGACATGAACTACACACTTTGAACTAACTGAAAATTATAAATTATAGCTTGTTTGGACTACATGGACTATACACCTTGACTTAAATGAACATTGCAACGTGTTTGGACAGAGGACACAGACATATGTCTTATGGTTCGGAAGGTTTAAAATATATTTTAATTTTTAAGTAAAAAAAAAAGTTACAATTTGAAAATCCTTTTTATAGACGTTTGGTAACTTATGGTCATTATAGCAAGTCGTTGTATAAACAAAATATATGTTATACTTAAATATTACAAACCGTGGTTCAGGTGCATTTGGCCCAGATTCACCCAGATACCCAACACCTGACCTCACAATACAGAGACCAAGAACAATTTATGGAGTCAGCAAGGTGCATGCTGAGCTCATGGGAGAGGTGAGAATATTTATAACATTGGCTAAACATGGGAGAGGTGAGAATATTTATAACATTGGCTAAACATGGGAGAGGTGAGAATATTTATAACATTGGCTAAACATGGGAGAGGTGAGAATATTTATAACATTGGCTAAACATGGGAGCGGTGAGAATATTTGTAACATTGGCTAAATTTTAAACAGAATTTAATACACATTAATTCATGAATGGATCTAAATATCGATACTGGCTATTAATATGAGTGCTTTCAAGTCAGTGAGTGAGATCTATGTGGTAGAACTTAAAACTTATGTATCCTCTCATATTTATGTTCTATAGAATTCCAGTCAAGGATTTATTTTCAAACCATAATGTTCTTTTTAACAAATTTCAATATACTTTAAAAAAAAATATTCATTGACTTGTGCCGTGTTCAACTTTGATTAACTATATGCAATAAAAATGTTTTGGATAATTTAGAGAAAAGGATATTCCTTTTAATATTGCAGTACTATAATCACAAGTTCGGCTTGGACTTTCGGTGCCTGAGATACCCAGGGGTCATCTCAACGGATCAACCTGGAGGTGGTACGACAGGTGAGACAAGGTTTGTCACAGATGTCACAAACCCAGCTTTTGTGTTTTGAGAAAACAAAAAGCGAAGTTAAAAAAAACAACAAAAAGACATACCTTTTAAATAATATAATAAATTAAACCAAAAATGGAATAATTTAAAGATCACCAAAAAAAAAAAAAAAGGACAAAATTAAAATCTAAAACTAGGAATGTCTTATTGTAACCTACTACACTCCAGATTATGCCCTGAAGATGTTCCATGATGCCCTGAACACTAAGGTGCAACACTGCTACCTGAAAAACAAAAAGCGAAATTAAAAAAAAAAACAAAAAGACATACCTTTTAAATAAAAAAATAAAATAAACCAAAAATGGAATAATTTAAAGATCACCAAAAAAAAAAAAAAAGGTCAAAATTCAAATCTAAAACTAGGAATGTCTTATTGTAACCTACTACACTCCAGATTATGCCCTGAAGATGTTCCATGATGCCCTGACCACTAAGGTGCACCACTGCTACCTGAGACCAGACACCAGGCTGCCCATGATGTACATTGACGACCTACTGACAGCCACAGTGGACTACATGCAGGTAAGCACATATTATCGTGCCTCATTGTTTAGTAAGAGGTCATGCATGGCTAAAAAAAAAAATCCAGTGGATTTCTGAAGATGACACCGATTTCTTAAAATAATTCTAAAACTGATTCATGATGTGAATTCATATTTAAGGTTTTCCATGTAAAATGTTTCTACTTTTTCTGCTCAGGTCCCAGATAAAAAGCTTTCTATGAGGACATACAACATTGGAGCTGTTGACTTCACACCTGAAGAGCTGGCTAATGAACTGAGGAAATTTGTGCCAGACCTTGAGGTTGTCTACAACCCTGACCACAGACAAGCGATAGGTCAGTACATGAGTTGGGGTTATCTGGCCTTGAATAATTTACATGTCTTTAACAGTTTGTGAGAATTTCAGGAGGAAATTTAATCTGATAATCCAATGATAATCCAATTTAACATCTGACCGTTGAAATGTTGTCTTTGACAGGTTGACAGAATTGAAACTGAAATAGAAAAATTGTTAATAAAATTATTTTTTTAAAAAGCGCACACATAACATTTATAAATGCTGACATGAGTTGATTTAATTTATCCAAGTCACTGTTGTGTTAAATAGTACTTTTAAAATAAAAATCCATAAACATGCCTCAATAAATTTAGGAGGCTTAAGGTGGTATGAGATGCTAGGTGGTATGAGATGCTAGGTGTTATGAGATGCTAGGTGTTATGCCATGCTAGTTACCCTGACTCAATCTAATTTTCTATCGGCAATTGCTTTGAATATTACAACCAAAAATGTTTGCATCATTAAGTATAAATAGTTATGTTGTATGTCTGCATTATTAAGTATAAATATTTATGTTGTATACAGCTGACTCATGGCCACAGAAGTTTGATTACAGTACAGCAGTGAAAGACTGGGGCTACCGTCCCCTTTACAACATGTCTGCCATGTGTGAGGTCATGGTCCAGTCCCTGCTGCCGAAATACAAGATCAGAAGGAACCAGACGCTGGAGGAGGTCAAGGAATGAAGCTCTGGTCCGTACCCAGCAGCCATTTTGTATCTCAGCTGTGGAAGAAGAGAGTTTTTATGTCCACAGGAGGAAAGGAAAACCACTGAACAATACGGTTCACTTGGCTTGGTGTGTTATCGTTAGAGGGGATTGCCTTGAGTAGCTTTGAAACATGGATAAAAATACCTGACCAATTGTAAAATTCTCCATAACTTGTATACAAATAGACACAATATATATGTGTAACTGGTTTGGAAACTTGTGTGCATCCAAGTTCTTCTCTGTGTACGGATAAAATTAAAATAAATCACTCATCATAGGTGGAGCACATCCTGTTTTGTAACGCATATTGTGACTGCTATTTAAATAGGTCAGTAGATTTGTAAAATTTATATTCCAATAAAGAGATACTTGTGATTTTATGATGAGATTACTTTGCAAAGTCAGCCATGAACTATCTACTTTTTAAAAACTTTTCTTGGCTTGATATACAGACAAAATATTCTAAAAATAATTTTCCATATCATATGTTTCGGTGATTTGTGAAGCACTGACTAAAAAATAGCAATGTAAAATAAATATCTACATACTCAAACATCATTACTGGATTGTTCACAATCAAACATCCATTTTATATTGAAACTTATCATCATCTGGTGTTGGTTATCATTGTATAATACAAGACCAAGAATCTACCTGTACGAATTGAGGACCCTTGAATCAGAAGCTTAAAGGAATGTTGACATTGTTAATGAGATGTGAATCTCGATTTATGCTGTACAAATTGAGGACCGTTATATCAGCAGCTGAAAGGAATGTTGACATTGTTAATGAGATGTGAATCTCGATTAATGCTGAACATTTCATATAAATATTACTCTTCCCATACCTCTTTTCTTTTCCTTTTTGCTCTGAATATTTTTTAACTCAAATGGAAAATGCGATTTAATTTTTTAAACATCCAACCATTTTATCTTAATTTCACTCTGATATTTTAAGAGATTTTATTCCAAGTTCAAAGGTATATGAGTAAAATAAGAATATTTTAATAAATTCTTAAATCATAAACTTTCCTCTTTCATGAAAAAAAATGTATTTATGTATTTGATTGGAATGTATTTTGCTGTTTGATGAACATTTGATTAATACGATTAAGATGCAGTGCCAAAATAATTAGAAATATTTATTATTTTACCATTGTTTAGGGAAACAATTATTTACAACTAAGTAAACACAACATGCTTCTGATAAGTTATTTGACCCACTTTATTTAACTATTACAATATGAGATATAAGATACATAATGACTAGTGGTCCTTTATTTCTCTCCATACCTAGTCTCATTTTTTGTAGTTTAAAATATTAATTTTACATTTAAGACAAGTCAATTCTTTCAGCTTGATAATATGCACCACAGAATAAGGTCAGAGGCACGTTCTGGTTTGAGCAACCTCCATATTTATTGTGTGTGCCTTAGTTTCTACACAGAGGCTGAGATGCTACAGTGTGATCTGCCGACACTGAAGATTTCAATTTCAAATAATTTGTTATTTCATGTTTTGCATATTCTGGCGGATAAGGCATTTATTTATTTCATTGGAAAGAGAGGAGTTTATATTCCTATTCAAATAGTTTGACAGCATACAACAGTTAGGTTGTAATCCCCACACCTCCCCCATAGGTTGTAATCCCCACACCTCCCCCATAGGTTGTACTCCTCACACATCCCCATAGGTTGTAATCCTTACACCTTCCCCACCCCAAAATGCTTTTTAAAATCCATTGTATATTAGATTTAGATTTATAGCTTTTTATCTTCCAAGATTGCTTCATATAACACACCATTACAAGTGTTACTAAATAATCGAGTTTCTTAAAATGTATGTAAAAGTTATCTTTGTTAATATAATATTTTATGATTTCCAAAATTTTATTTAACTTCTCCCCTAACTCACAATTTCATTGGTCAAATGTATACACCTAACTTCTCGCCTAACTCACAATTTCATTGGTGAAATATTTACACCTTGTACATAATGTAACCTAATCCCAACGTCAATTTTACTTCTTAAAGATATTTATAGAACTTAAGAATCTCATGATGTCACATCGATGGTTAATGGTTTTTATCCAAATGATTTTGTTGAAATGTACAGAGTTTAAATCTTTAAACTCAATAAAGAATTCAAGTTACAAACCAGCTCTCAGTGTTGTTTGCTTCTTTGTTTCCTTTACGTGTCATATTTTTAAGCCATTATTTATGTCTCTGAACTTAATTTTTTTTTAAAAATATGACAGCCAAAGAACAATTTTATGTTAAGTTTTTAAGTTGTCTCAAGCTGAGGCAAGAAACACTCCTAAGACTTGTTCTATTGGCTACTTCTGTTGTGGTTATCCTACTGGCTACTGGCCGCTTCTGTAGTGGCTATCCTACTGGCTGCTTCTGCATAGTCACATTTTTATTCCGCACATTCTTCTCATAATACATATGCTCTGAGGTTTCGTTTATGACTCTGCTGTTCATGTTAGTGCTGCCGTGAGCTGTCCTTCTTAGTGTTGTCCCTGGAATAGAGCTTGCCGACATTTGACTATGTTTATACTCTGATCCTATAGTAACGCGGTGTGCTGGTTTCCTAAAAATGGTCTGAAGATAAAACTATGATCTAAGGGAAAAAACTCATACAAAAAGTTGTCATCATAACAAATCCAAATTTAAGGAGTAGTCTCTCTTGAAAGTGTAGAACGTCATTATTTAATTCTTTTTATCAACTACACACGAGTCACACGCTCCTCAAACACGTACGTAAGTTAAATTAGATGAATATTATATTGAACTTCTCCACTTCACCACCCAGATGCTTCACTCACCAATCCGCTAGTTAGAAAATGATGAGACTTGATCCAATGAGCTATATAGTAATCAAATTAAGTCTTGTTAACTAAGAACCACTAGTGTCATGTAATTCATAAGATGAATGAGTTTTTCTTTTGTACATAATTGAATAGGGTGACTTTGTTTTCCACAGCTTGGTTAGTTTATTTAATTGCTGAGAGTAGGTGGTGAATTAGCCCTTTTGGATTTTTTTATTATGAATAAAAGGACAGCAAAATTTAAAAAAAATAAACCTGCTACACGTTTTTTAAAAATATAATGAGTTAAATCTGTCATGGACTGTTGTGATAGAAAAATGAAATGAGTTAAATCTGTCATGGACTGTTGTGATAGAAAAATGTAATGAGTTAAATCTGTCATGGACTGTTGTGATAGAAAAATGTAATGTTTTAAATCTTTCATGGACTGTTGTGATAGAAAAATGTAATGAGTTAAATCTGTCATGGACTGTTGTGATAGAAAAATGTAATGAGTTAAATCTGTCATGGACTGTTGTGATAGAAAAATGAAATGAGTTAAATCTGTCATGGACTGTTGTGATAGAAAAATGTAATGAGTTAAATCTGTCATGGACTGTTGTGATAGAAAAATGTAATGAGTTAAATCTGTCATGGACTGTTGTGATAGAAAAATGTAATGAGTTAAATGTGTCATGGGCTGTTGTGATAGAAAAATGTAAACGTTATGCAATCATAAAGAAATAGGGACGGCAATAAATTATGAATTATTTCATACACAAAAGATATCACTAAGTAGAAAAGTTAGGAGCTGCTGATTTTATCGTATGTTCCCTGCAAGGTAACATGGCATGCATATGCCCAATGGTAAATTGCATTCAGTAATTTTTTTTATGTTTTGAAAAATTTAATCACTGTTTTATTATTGAATGTTTGTAAATGTCCATGGTAGTCAGTTATCCATTAACCTGTAAATAGAGTGAATGATGCAAGAATACAAAAAAATTGAACTTAACCAATGGGAAACATACTATCTAGTTAGTAAAAACTGTTGGCAGTTTCTCTGTGATATGTTAATATAAAAAACTAATAAATGAATTTTAAACTTTAAATAAAAAAAGAGCTAAAAACAAACTGAATAGCAATACCTCCCAATACCTCCCAATACCTTCCAATACTTTGCAATACCTCGGACCGACGCAAGCCGCCTAAGAACGCCATACCTTGGAGGCGTAAGGGGGACTATAGACTCGCGCCTGACCGCCTAGCTCTGGATTAGCTGGACCGCATACAGAACCTAGCTCTCAGGTTTGTCTGCGGAGCGTCATGCACAACATCCACGGCTGTCGTAGTAATTCTGTCGGACCTAGAATCACACATCAGGGGGACAAAGCCATACCAACGACGGTGGAAAGATACCGTCGTATGGAGAAAACAGAACCATGATTTTAGTTACAATAGCGGTGGACAGAGGCGTAGCGAAGGAGGTGCAAGGGGGAAAGATGTCCCCGGGTGCCAGCTACTTAGGGGCGCCAAAAAGTGCTTTTATATTATTTTATTTATAAAAATAATAGGCTTCGGAGTTGAAAAAAGAAAAGGGGCGTTTTAAAATGTATCTTGTCCCCGGGCGCCAAACACTCTAGCTGCGCCTCTGGTGGTGGATAAAGAGGAGAGGCTAAAAAGACCCTCCTTTATTGATGCGGCCCACTCACTTGAGAGTAGCGTCATTAACTGTACCAAAAAAAAAGTGGTGGGGGGGGGGTGGGGAATGCGGTTGATCCAAGAGCGATCACCACACAAACGCATCGAGTCCCCTGATGTACGTGTCTGAAACTAGCAAATGGGGAAGCTACAAGTCGAGTCCTCTTAATGTGCAAAAAGGGGCCACTCTAAGGACGATTGAAGCATACGAGGATACCGTGGTAAAAGTCTTCACACACTGGCTGTTGTTTCACNTGCGGCCCACTCACTTGAGAGTAGCGTCATTAACTGTACCAAAAAAAAAAGTGGTGGGGGGGGGGTGGGGAATGCGGTTGATCCAAGAGCGATCACCACACAAACGCATCGAGTCCCCTGATGTACGTGTCTGAAACTAGCAAATGTGGAAGCTACAAGTCGAGTCCTCTTAATGTGCAAAAAGGGGCCACTCTAAGGACGATTGAAGCATACGAGGATACCGTGGTAAAAGTCTTCACACACTGGCTGTTGTTTCACCAACGAAAATATAGCTGGGTAAGGCGCACTCATACAGTACCCGAAAGGGGGAGCTCCGACAGAGGGGGAAGGAGGGCGCAAACTTCGATGCAGAAATCGAAGCTATACTTATGGCTCGAAAACAAGTGCGCCGATACGTTAGGAGAAAACCATCGTAGTGTTTACATGCACTAGAGGCTGTGTACAATAAACAGGAAAAGGATTTAGGCTGTAATAGATATAATACAAGACATACAGTCACAGGGAGGCAGAGTGGTTCTTCCATGGATCAATGGACAAGCGAGATTACCCCAAAATGAAAGAGCTGACTTTTCAGCAAGACAAGGGTCGGCCCAGCCACAACCAAACTGACCGATGACCCAACTGCAGGTCAAAGCGTCGTTAAAAAGAAGAATGGCCTGCAAAATTGGGGAAAATGGGACAAGGCCTTTTGACTTTATCGGAACATGTGCCACGCAAACAGGATAGGGGATCAATGGTGGAAATTAAACACAAACACTATAGAGTCATCACAACATTGTCCTACTTGAAGCTACTTGAATAGTTGCATTCTATTCGAGACCCGAACTCCGACCTGCCGTCATTGCGGGCAGGCGCTAAAGACAGTAGCTCATTTGCTAATTTCGCGAGTGCCCGATACTAACGAGTGGGGTAGGTGGGGGTTTAGGAACACCCCCAGACATCCACACAGAAAGCCTGATGGGGCACGCCTGTGAAGTGCTTGCCGGGGTCATGAAAGGGCGGTAGGCTCGGCCCCAAAAAGAGAATGTAAAAAAATAATATTGATTGCAACCGCTTTAACCGCTTTTTACAGCAATAAACTATTGTAACCAGTAGAGCTAGGCTGATATTGGTACACGTTATTTTGAGCCATTCGTTGTGCCACGCTCTGGATCATTTACAATGTACTGTTGGGCACCGTGTACAAGAAACAATAAATACGTTAATTTAATCGATCGGAGCAAAAAAAAATAATTATTGATTGATTTGACACATTAAGAATTAATTGTTTAACACAACCCAGCAAGTGGCGCTGTTGTAATCACCAAACATACCCGGATGTAGGGCAGACGTTAAATATTTGCATTATTATTTTTTAAGCCAGAGATCTCAGAACGTGGCTCATAGTGTATCGTATAACACAAAGAGTTTGGTGTCATAATTTGTCATGAATTGTAGTTTTAAAAAAAACAACAAAAAAACAACAACAACAAAAAAACCATGTTGAGCATGGCACAATGAAGGTGAGCACCTTGGGAAAAATGTTTCTGATATCGTCAAGAGGCAGTCTTATAGTTTGACTCGTTATTTTAAACAACAGAGTTGTCTGTCTTAGTTACCGAATGGTGGGACAGCAAAAAGTGGACCATTTCATGGATCCGAGAGTGCGTAGACCGAGCTACACCAAAATAATACACTACTAAAACATTAGTATGTTTGAGTTACTGAAGTAAAAACTGTCCATAATGTCTCAAGATACAATGATTACAGCATGTTTGGTCAAATATCGCTAATAAGCAGTTTTATTGGTCGCATCCACTATATAAAGTTCAGTGTGACTTTGTTTGTTTGTTGGTGGGTCACTCGATCACGAGAAAACCAAACAATAGATCGCCACCAAACCTCACATGGTCATTTCTCCTGACCAACAGAAGGTTGCTGGAAACTTTGATCATAATCCCCATATCCCCAAAATGGTAATTATAAAAATAAAATAAAAATCCTAAAATGTAGAGGGTTAAGATTTGAAAAAAAAAATATTCTTTACAATGAACTCGAGGGTTGTTCAAGTTAAGTTGGTTTTGGTGTGAGCTGTTTTAATAGGACTTTCGTCAGAACGGTGCGCTTACAAACTTCTATGAATGGAATATGTTGAGTGTGCCATTGTTTGGTGCAACCATTTTAAATAAAGATTTATTCTATGTGGGTTTAAAAATATATCTGAAATAAGATTTCCACAAGACATCAGCTTTTACTCCACAAGACACCAGCTTTAACTCCACAAGACATCAGCTTTAACTCCACAAGACATCAGCTTTAACTCCACAAGACATCAGCTTTTACTCCACAAGACATCAGCTTTAACTCCATAAGACATCAGCTTTTACTCCACAAGACATCAGCTTTAACTCCAT